CACATACGAGAGCTGAAGACACCCAAACAGAACTGGTTGGAACGCCGGATAGCAGCAAGCTCTGATGGGCCATGCTCATACGTGGAAGCAGATGCTTTTTCAGCAGGGTCTTAGGTTGATTCGGGGGGGTATGATGTGGTCCCAGATATATGAATGTTCAGCCAATTTGTCAAGGGGAATAGGATATAAAGAGTTTAAAGGGTACAGGCATAGTAATAATCAAACAGGGGGGCTGCTGAAATAAGGGCTGGGTTAATAGATAAAGGGTGCTCCTAAAAAGGGGAGGGTGATACTAGCAGCTCCATGGGATGATGGAGCCCCAGGATGAGTCAGTAACAACCATAGCCCCAGGGAACAACAAACACCAATCTCAGTGCTACACGATGTACCAATGGGACGCTGGACCCGGTTTCCAGCAGGTGCCGCTCCCCACCAATAGATGGAGCAGCCCGACAGGTAAGCCCTCAATTCTGACGGTTCTCTTACCACCGCCAGGATCGAGGGATATCGTATGGGCCATTCTCAAAAAAAAAAAAAAAAAAGATGGTGGGACAAGTAATTGACAAGCGTATGGATGGGGCTTTAGTGAACTTGTTCAAAATTCACAAAAATCGTACATTATCACAATCACAACAAGGTAGGGTGTTTTTTTTCCCTTCCAACTCTTTACATAGAATAATGGTGGTGTATTGTTCCTCCAGAAAAGGTTGGAGAGCTTTTTATCCGGACATTCCTATTCCTGAGCTCCCTCTGGATCCACCGGATTTGGTGTGGAGATCGTCCAGAAGGAGCAAGCCCCATAAGTTGCAATCATTGTCGGTGAAAGCATCTTACCGATTGTTGAGACCAAGGGTGGATGTATCTGCAATTATCAAAGAACGATGGGCCAGGCAGCTGAACATTTATCTAGAGTCACTCAGTCATATCTCGATGCGTAAGGGGTTCAAGGAAAGACCAGCAAAATTTGCGCCTCTACAATGGCAAATAGTTCATAGATGTGTACCAACAAATGATTGGTTGAACCACCAGTACACGGCCCCAGCCTTGCAGTCCAAAACTTGTCTCCACAAGAAAACGAGGCCGAAACGTCAAACGTCGCGCCCGCCGTTGATAAAGTAGATCGGCGGTCGTGGTTTCGTTTCGCGCCTCCAGAATTTGAGGTGTCAGGCCCGCAGCCCAGGTGCCCATGTACTGGTGCTTTAATAGACCATTCATCCTTAGAACAAAGAGGGTTAGCTCTCCCTTGGTGTAAAGCCTGTCTAGAAGTATTTCCAAGTACAAAAATCTGAGAAACCATTGAACATATTTTTCTACAATGTCAAGGAGCAAACTATGTGTGGAACAAACTTATGAGTTTGGATTGGCCCTGGAATTGGCAGGCGATCCTGCTGGGATACTGGAACCCGGTTGCAATCAATTTATCAAATTTTCAGCAAAATCTGTTTAATATAGGAAGAAAGGCGATATTGTAGACATTATGGTACCGGCGTTGTCACCCATTGTGTACATGTTACGGAAAAGTAAGACCCACTAGTACCTTTGCCGCACTAGTACCTTTGCCGCTTGGAAAATAGCGGGCCTCCGGTGGGCCTCCGACCGTTTCGGAGGCCGAAACGAAACGACGGCCACCGATCAGATTTATCAATGGCGGTCGTCGTCGGGCCCGACCTCCGAAGATTCAGGAGTTTGGGCAAACAGCCAGTTTTCCCTACTTTCCCACGCGGGAAAGGTACTAGTGGTTTATTCAACAATTCATTCAAACAGAAATCCGCGCCCAATGGAGTAAATTGAAACAGGATTTACAAAAATTACAACAAAAGAGGGATATAAAATGAAATTACAGAAATTCAGGCTAGACTGGCTGGGGGAAAGTTCAGAGGAGAGACTGAGAAAGGTGGTTTGACCAGGAGAGGAAGCGGATGAGGTCTCCTTTAAAAGAGACTATCACATTTTCTTTCACTCGTAAGTTTTTTCCACACATAGTCCCATCTTCTCCTCACACGTTCTTTTTTTTTCTTTTTTCTTAACATCTGCGACAACAGATAGGAGTGATGATAAGAGCATGCACTCCTACCTGTCATGCAGGGGACTCCATTCTATTGGCGGGGAGATGCACCTGCTGGAAACCGTGTCCAGCGTCCCCTGAACAATGATAAAATAGCACATGCTGCGAACCGGGCCCAACGTCCCGCATGATGTTCTCAAAACCAGGAAATTAAGACCTGGGCACCTCTTCAGTCTAATTGAGGACCGCCAGATAAGCATTTCAAACCCAGCACCCAACACGTTCTGTTCTTCTGTTTTCGGCT